TACTGATGATACTGCTGACGATAGTACTGATGATACTGCTGACGATAGTACTGATGATACTACTGACGATAGTACTGATGATACTGCTGACGATAGTACTGATGATACTGCTGACGATAGTACTGATGATACTGCTGACGATAGTACTGATGATACTACTGACGATAGTACTGATGATACTGCTGACGATAGTACTGATGATACTGCTGACGATAGTACTGATGATACTGCTGACGATAGTACTGATGATACTACTGACGATAGTACTGATGATACTGCTGACGATAGTACTGATGATACTGCTGACGATAGTACTGATGATACTGCTGACGATAGTACTGATGATACTGCTGACGATAGTACTGATGATACTGCTGACGATAGTACTGATGATACTACTGACGATAGTACTGATGATACTGCTGACGATAGTACTGATGATACTGCTGACGATAGTACTGATGATACTGCTGACGATAGTACTGATGATACTGCTGACGATAGTACTGATGATACTGCTGACGATAGTACTGATGATACTGCTGACGATAGTACTGATGATACTGCTGACGATAGTACTGATGATACTGCTGACGATAGTACTGATGATACTGCTGACGATAGTACTGATGATACTGCTGACGATAGTACTGATGATACTGCTGACGATAGTACTGATGATACTGCTGACGATAGTACTGATGATACTGCTGACGATAGTACTGATGATACTGCTGACGATAGTACTGATGATACTGCTGATGATACTGCTGACGATACTACTGACGATACTGCTGACGATAGTACTGATGATACTGCTGACGATAGTACTGATGATACTGCTGATGATACTGCTGACGATAATACTGATGATACTGCTGACGATAGTACTGATGATACTGCTGACGATAGTACTGATGATACTGCTGACGATACTACTGACGATAGTACTGATGATACTGCTGACGATAATACTGATGATACTACTGACGATAGTACTGATGATACTGCTGACAATAACGCCAGGGCCACACTGACAACAAAGTGCTGCGGAGCGCAGCTCACCGAAATTCTCGCACGGGCCTGAGCATTTCCGTTCACATCAGACACGCATTTCTCCACGCTGGTCGACAAGAGCTTCTGCTCCCAGCTGTTGTCTCCGTCACATCTGAGGCTGTTTATCCATCGTGGGTAAGTAAATAACTTCATAAAATTATACGCCATGTTTTCCAAACAACTGTACCTGTATGTCCACTTCTTAGTAATGAGTATATGTATATGAACACACACACACACATATACAACGCATTTATCAAATGGGGTGTTTTATTTTGAAATTTGTTTTATTCTGAAAATTGACCGGATGCTGTTGTTGTTCCTTTGTTTGACTTCCTGCCCGGCTTGACACATTCGCTCATGGCTTGCGCAGAAAATAGACCAGATGCCAAACTGATCGCTGCAGCGCCTGCCGGTGTGGATGACACAATCGGTTAACATGGGCGCCGAAACTCACCTAGCAGGGGAGATACCATGATCAAGAAGGTGGTTCACCCACGGCAAGGCTCAGTCATTGCACTCCGATTGAGCTGACCTCTGCAAATTACCCAAATGTGGGAATCTGGTGGTCTCCCCTGATTTATTTATTTTTTTTAAATTTAAGGGGGCGGCAGTAGCTCTGTCCATAGGGACTTGGGTTGGGAACCGGAGGGTCGCCTGTTCGAGTCCCCGTCCGGACCAAAATATGGAGCGTGGACTGGTAGCTGGAGAGGTGCCAGTTCACCTCCTGGGCACTGCCGAGGTGCCCCTGAGCAAGGCACCGAAACCCCCAACCACCCAGAGCGCCTGACCAAGGGCAGCCCCCTCACTCTGACATCTCTCCACTTAGTGCATGTATAGGTCCAGTTTGTGCATGTGTGTTCGGACCTGTGTGTAATTGACAACAGACTGAAAAATTGAATTTCCCCTCAGGGGGATTAATAAAGTATATAAAATTAAAAATTAAATTAAAATTAAAAAAGGAAACTGGCTTCGCGTCGAGGCTATTCGCAGCGCTTCGCGGGCGGTGTGGCCCTGGCGTAATACCAACAATACTGCTGACGATACTGCTGATGATGGTACTACTACAGGTCCTGGTACCTTGGCCTTCTTCAGCAGCAGGATCATGTCATCCTCTTTCCTCTGAGCTTCATCTCGTTGGTCTTCATCTGTACTGCTGAACAAGGAGAATGCTGCTCACACACACACACACACACACACACACACACACACACACACACACACACACACACACACACAGTGATGTTACTGATGGACAGGTCAGTGTGACGTCTGTTGGTCTGTGACTGGAGTTCAGATTAAAAACCAAAGGTGTAAAATATTCAAAACTCTGACTGCAGTTTGGTCTGATGAAGATGGGTGTGACTGAACTTACCGACAGCCGCCCACAGCACTCCTCCTCCTCCTCCTCCTCTTCTCTGTGTGTTGTGGAAGTTTCTGGTAAAGGACTCATGTCTGCTGAGATTTACCCAGCAGGCCGAGCGTTTCTCTGGTCTGATAGTTCCTCTGTAGGAGAGACAGCAGAGACACAGTGAGGCAGAGTGATGAAGCTGATGAAGAGCAGCCTTCATGTTTCTGTCACATCAAGAGATCAATAGATTAGCGATGTGCGAGTCATGAACGAATTGTTTGAAACCCGGGATTCTTTTTACTGACTCAGGAGTTACAAGTCATCGTCTCCATTAACTTGTTCACTGACTCGCTAACTGCAGAGAGAGACCAGACAGCTGTTCTCACTGTACACTGAGTTAATGTGTGTGCGTCTCGTCTCGTCTCGTCTCTGAGCTGAGTCACAGGCTCAGAGGCAGTTTACACGCCGCCGGCTATTTTCATAAACGGACATTTCACCATCTCCGTTTTCAAAAAGATCTTCGTTTACACTTACCCGTGTATATATACACAAGAGCATGCCAAACCTGTAGGTGGCAGTGTAACGAGAGGCTCAAGCCTTCCATGTATCCATTGTCACCATAGCAACATAGGTCGCACTTTTGACACAGGCGCAACTTCCGGCGCATGTTGTGACGTCAGCTGCCTATAACTCCGTTTATCTGCGTTTATCTCAGTTTACATGCAAACGCGCAACCGGAGTTTTCCAAAATCTCCACTCTGGCCGGAGTTTTTAGAAAGACTCGTTTTCAGAGGAGAAATCTCCGTTTGCGTGTAAACGAAGGGCACAAACGAAGGAAGATGTCTCCGTTTATCAAAATCACCGTGTACGTGTAAACGGCCTCTCAGTGTTTCACTCACTCAGTAGCTCCGGCTCACCGGCAGCACAAAGCTCCCTCGCACTCTCTCCCTGCTCACAGAGCCCCTCCCTCACCTGAGGAGTGTGCTCACTCTGGGTGTCTGACTCAAGTGACTCGAAAATCTGATTCACTTTAGTGAGTGACTCTGTCCTGAAACGGACACCTGTCTGTCCGTCTGTCCGTCTGTCCTCGTCAGCTCCGTTTATACATCTAAACACAAACGCAGGTGAGTTAAACACCTGATTGTGTCGCGCAGGCGCATTGTCTTTCAATATGGCGGGTTTAATTCCATTCAAATATCTTTACTGACGTCACTGACAGACTGAAATAAAAACCAAACAACAGACAACAAATAAACATCTGACAGAATTTGGTTTATGAACAGGTCGCTGCTGATTGGCTGACACTTCTGACGCACCCACCGGACGACAGGAAAAGACTCCGTTTCACACCGTTTAACACGGGTTCACACGGGTTCACACAAACTGTAGAAGAAGCCGTGACACGTGACACGCACCTCAGGTGAGTCGCACACACACTGACCTTCCAGGTGAGCTCCGGGTCGCGTGCACTCCTGAACACCTGAACCTGCTCAGACTGAGGACGGAGCGGCGCACACAGGACCCCGCCATCTTGTCTGTTTATATAAGGAGCGGAAGTCACGAGGTCTGACTCCACACCTTCACAATAAAAGCACCGGAAGACAACACGTGAATGATCTTTATAAGCTGTGGAACAATTTTAATTAAATAGTTTATTAATAAAAAAAAACGTTACTGAGTTGGAATGTAATCCTCCTACTGCACAAATATATTCATATTTACAGGATATTGATGCACTCACTGTATATGTCTTATTTTAAAACTATTTCTGTTTATAATGTGCACTGGAGCATAATGTCCATATTTTATATTTCTAACCTACATACTAGTTCTACACACTGACATGTAGCACATACTTTGAACGGACTTTACACACTCAGCACATTACACATGTTTTTTAAACATTTTACATACTGCAGTGAAACTGAATCATAATCTTATTTCTACTCTCTACAATTCTCTACACTTTACATCAGAGCGACTGTAACACATCAGTGTGAGGGTTAATAAAGTGTTTCTGATTCTGATTGGCATTAGTGGTAAAATACAATTACTAATTTTCTTGAACTCTGAAGTGTGTGTTTATTTTCTCATGACAAGATTCCCTGCAAACAGTTCACTGATAAAACACGTCAAAATCTTAATGACAAATTTCACAGGAAGTCTATTTAATATTTATCTATTAACACAATTACATATTTGTATTCACTTCCTTATGTGTTTTATTTTATTTGTATCATTTGGAATATTTTTGTTCAACCTGCGATGTTTCATAAATAAGAAACAACAAAGGGTTTGTTGAATTAAAACTACTGATTTTAATTTTACGTAACGATATATAGATCTCCTCTGCTGTCACTGTGATCACCAAGACAAACTCCAGAAAAACAAGATCCCTGAATTTATAAAATATTCTGAACAATTATTGTCTTGCAAAAATCCAAACCTGAAACTGTGTGAATGTGAAGTCTCAACATTAACTGAGATTAAAAATAAAGTTACTGCAGGATGTGATTCAGATCAGACTGTGATCAATAACCCTGATAAACTAATGACTATCAGCAGTCTGATCAAACAAACTGAAGGAAACAGATTCATGTTCAATATTCAGTTTTTATTGTTTAACAGAAGAAAGAACATGATGATGATGATGATGATGATGATGATGATGAAGAAACAGGATGTTTAACGTGTTTCTGTTCATACAGGACCAAGTCACTGTTCACCAGGTCACGAGTCAGTCTCAAGTCTACACATGAAGTCCTGCGTCACGTCTCTGTTGGCAGTGGAGTCACCTGATTGGCTGAAGCCTTTTAAACTTGATTTTAATTGGAGGATGAAGTCGAGTCGTTCAGTCAAGAGTTCAGCGTCACTGCTGATCAGATCTGACGCCTGTACGTCTGACGTGATCAGATTCTGTCCCATCAACCTTTGCTGAGGGCGAGGTCACTGGGACACGTTTGACCTCTGACCCGAGGTCAGTTGGACGATGACATCACCAAAACACAAACAGAGATTAAAGAAAAAAACTTGTTCAGTTCACGTTGAACCCAGGAAGTAAAGTTTTTCACACGTGTTTGTTTTAACATCCATGACCTGACACGCACTGTTACATTCCATCGCTCCTGAAGCTACCGCCACATCGCCGTGGTAACTCACCGCCTCTCGGCGTTTTAAACACAGCCGTCAGGGGATGAAGTGGTTGCCGCCCTCGTGCACAGATTTTGCTTCACAGCATCAGTGAAGCAGAGAGACAACGTGAGGAGGAGCTGATGATGTCGGTGTCTGAGTCACAGCGCCGGAAACTTATCAGGACAAAAAAACTGGACCTGTGACACCATGTCCGCCAAACATCAGACAGGAAGTTGTTCACATACGTAAAACTCTTTGGTCGTTTCACTGGTTTCTGTTGTTTTGTTTCAGTCTGCAGCTTCACGTTACGTTCACTTCTGCCGGCATTCACAGAGACACCTGCCGCCATCATCTGCCCTCATCACCTGCCGCCATCACCTGCCCTCATCACCTGCTGCCATCACCTGCCGCCATCACCTGCCGCCATCACCTGCCCTCATCACCTGCTGCCATCACCTGCTGCCATCACCTGCCGCCATCACCTGCCCTCATCACCTGCCGTCATCACCTGCCCTCATCACCTGCTGCCATCACCTGCCGCCATCACCTGCCGCCATCACCTGCCCTCATCACCTGCTGCCATCACCTGCCGCCATCACCTGCCGCCATCACCTGCCCTCATCACCTGCCGTCATCACCTGCCGCCATCATCTGCCCTCATCACCTGCCGCCATCACCCGCCCTCATCACCTGCCGCCATCACCCGCCCTCATCACCTGCCGCCATCACCTGCCCTCGTCATCACCTGCCAGCAGCTTAACCCTGAACCCTTAAACATTCCTCTGAAGAGGTGAGGACCAAACACAATGTAGTAATGTCCTCACAACGTAGTAATGTCCCCGTAATACAGAAAAGTCCTCATAGTGATGGTTTACGTTGGCACTACAACCCGCACAGGACAGTTGAACAGACATGTTGGACTGTTCCTTTAGAGTCGATCTGTCAGTGATTCAGTTTGAGACATCGTTCCTAAAACGCTGAGTTGATCTGTGTGTCAGGACTTTTGTCTCTGGAATGTTTCTTAGTGTTTGATTCTTTGTAACAACAGTTTTTAAACAGAGAAGACGTTTTAATCATTTAAATCATTTCATTTTCTGTTAAAAACAAAAAAAGAACAGGAAGGTTGAACAACAAAAACTAAAATGTTCAGAGTTCATCAGAAGCAGCTTTGACCTTAAAGAACCACAACAATGAGAAAAACCTTTGATAACTGAGCAGCAACAAATCGCTGTGACGTTGGTAGTGATCTGACCTGATTGACTCAGAGCTCTTCGGTCACTCAACAACTTCACTGGTTGTTTTGTGATTGTTGCAGCCTGAAACGTCTGATCTCACTGCAACCTGTCTACAAAACATTAGGACATATGTTGTGATATTTTTTAGGACTTTCTTCTACCATGATAAGAATTTAAAAAAAAATATCTGAATCCATATTGGTGTCAAATAAGACAAATATTTGAAAAACATCTTTGCTGGTCCGAAGTTTGTTTTGTTACAACCGTCAGAGTGAAATTTGGAAGGTGACAGACAGGTCGGTGAGGATGAAACAGGCCGACCTGGTGATACAGGAAGAATAGAATCCATTACAGATGAGGCAGACAGTGGCGTCAGCGTCAGGTGAAGGAGAGTCCGCTGTGCCTTCGACAGCTTGAGACAATTGATAGTTTGAAAAGTCAGAAAGTTCCAACAGTTAAACACTAATCTGCGTACAGCGTTCTACAGTCGACACTTAAAGCTCCAGTGTGTCAGATTTAAATAGAATCTAATGTTTATATCTCCACAGGGAGCAGGTCCTCGTCTACAGAGATCACCATGTTGCACCGCCATGATTCTACAGTAGCCCAGAAAGGACAAACCAAACACTGACTCTAGATAGAGACATTCATGTGTTCATGTTGGACACCGTGGTTAGCAGCTCCTCCATGATGAGCAGCATCAGAAAAACATTTTATTTAAATGTGAAGTTAAAAGAGAAAAAAGTTGAGCGGACATTATCAGGTGCTGTGCGGAGCGGCCCAGCTGTGACGAGCCAGACAGCATCTGAGAAACAGATGTTTTACTGTGAAACGTCTTCCTTCAGTGTGTTTCCTAGTCTGTTCCTCTGAGAATCATTCAGCTCCTGAACAATCAACACTGAAGGAATTCTGAGCAGGAGAAGTTTCTTCACTGCTGGACGCCACTAAATCCTCCTGAATATGACACACTGGACCTTTAAATGTGGTTGTGTGTCTTAAATGATGAGTGTTCTTACTGTGACAGATTCACCTGCTCTGAGCTGCAGGAAAAGGGCCTTTCATGTTTGAGTTCCAGTGTTGCTCACATCGACGCCCTAACACCTCGACCTGTCATTAAACCCCTTCATAAACACTGGGTAGCATTAGCCGTGTGACGCTAATAGTTATCCCTGTCACTGTGCGAGTGAGTCTGTCCCAGAGCAGCAGCGTCATGATAAACAGAGTGGGGCTGAGCGGATCAGTGAGCCGCACGCAGCTCTACAATAAAACCAGATGTGACTGTTTTAAACACTCTGTGGTATGTGGTAATGATTTGTGGTGAAGTTGTGGTGATTGGACAAAATGACAAGGTCGTGCAGACTTGATAGGGATTGGCTGAATGAGTGTGAGACAGTGTGAAGTCGTGGAGGGAGTGACTGTCTCTGGAGAAAACATGATAACTGTTTGTTCTCCAATTTCTCAGCTGATTTATGGACGATGACTCAGATGAAGCCTCACTGACTGATATCAACACGTGTTTCACTGAGTGATGAAGACGACTGTTGGAGTATCTTCATTTCTATGATCTGTGTGCCTCTGCCGATAAACTACAATAACTAACTTCCTGTTAGACCACCTGCATGCACCTGTCCCTTTGTCCCCGCCCTCCATACACACTCCCAGCAGCAGCAGCAGCAGCAGCAGCAGCAGCAGCAGCAGCAGCAGCAGCAGCAGCAGGCGTTCACTGGGCCGGCCGGTGGTGGATGAACCTTTTCAGGTGGTAGCGCAGCACTCCTTTGGTTTTAAAGGTCTTGCCGCAGCTGCAGGCATGCGGCCGCTCTCCGGTGTGGTCGAGCTGGTGGACCCGCAGCAGCGAGCTGGTGAAGAAGAACTCTCCACAGGTGATGCAGTAGTGGCTCTTCTCTCCCGTGTGTTTGGATCTCTGGTGGCTCAGCAGCGAGCCCGACGTGATGAAGCTTTGACCGCAGTCTCTGCAGGTGAAGGGACGCTCACCGGTGTGGATCCTCTCGTGGGCCCTCCAGGAATTGTGGTAGGAGAAGGACTTCTCGCAGTATGAGCACTGGTACAGCTTCTCCTTGGTGTGGCTCAGCCGGTGCATCTTCAGGTAGTGAGCGATGGTGAAGCTCTTGCCGCAGTCGTCGCAGGTGAATGGCTTCTCGCCCACGTGGAACAGTGTGATGTGAGACCTCAGGTGGGACGACTGGGTGAATCTCTTGCCGCAGGTGATGCAGAGGAACGGTCGCTCTCCGGTGTGGGTGACCATGTGAGACTTGAGGTGCGGTGACTGGGTGAACCTCTTCCCGCACTCTGTGCACTTGTAGGGCTTGAGTCCAGTGTGCGTGCGGTTGTGCAGCTTCAGCCCCTGCAGGCTGGAGAAACACTTGCCGCACTCAGTGCAGTGGTAGTCCTTCAGGTCCTCGTGGGTTCGCTGGTGGCAGCGCAGGCCGCTCAGCAGCTTGAAGCCTTTGCCGCAGGTGGAGCATTTGTGCGGCTTCCTGTTGGAGTGGGTCACCTGGTGGAGCTTCAGGCTCTGAGGGTTGCTGAAGGTCTTCTTGCACTTGAGGCAGGGCAGCGGCTTCGGGTTCTTGTGCGACTTGCGGTGGAAGTTGAAGCCCTGGTAGGAGACGAACATCTTGTTGCAGATTTTGCAGTGGTAGCACTTCTCCCCCTTGTGCTGCTCCAGGTGATCGTTGAGCTCGCCCTGCTCGCTGAAGCCATCCCCACAGAACCAGCACTTGAAGGGTTTGGTGCCGGAGTGCGTCCGGTGGTGGGTCTTCCAGTCCCTCTTCAGGGCGAAAGTCTTGTCGCAGTAGGAGCAGCGGTAGGGCTCCTTGCGGTCGTGGATCTGCTGGTGGACGACGAGGCTCATAAGGGTCGGGTAGGTCTTCCCGCACTGCCAGCACTCGTTGGGTTTCTGTCCTCGGTGGGTCCTGCGGTGAGCCTCCAGATGGGACTGTTTGTAAAAGCCTTTGTTACAGTCGCAGCAGTACACCATCTTCCTGCCCGTGTTGGTCGGCCGGTGCTGCCTCGGCCTCTGGGGACACAGCTGAGGGTGGTCGTCTGCGGGAAGGAGAGGTCAGAGGTCAACTTCTTTAACAAGTGACTCACAGACGGACACAGTAAAACATGGCGGCACCATGATGTGATGATACTTGTGATAAATAAACAGATATCAAAGTGCTAAAATACAACTGAAAATTAAAAAAATCAAATGAAATTATTTCCAATATTCTGTTACGTACATTTTACCCCTCAAACTCTCTTTAAACTAACTCAATAAATCTGAGTTTCATGATGCGTTCATGGCGCAGGTCGACTTCACGGTGACGATAAATAAATGACATATTCTGCAGCTCTGCACTGAAAATCTGCTTTAATATAAAAGTCTAAATAAACCATAAAACTGTTTTTGTTCTTGACCCAAATCTTTAGAATTCATTTATTCTCCTGATGAGTTTATATCACAACAGATTTTAATAGGGCTGGGGCGATGCGTCGACGTCATCAACTACGCTAATACGTCGACACAAATTATTTGCGTGGACGCGTCGGTTCAAACAAAAAAATGGCGGTGTGCAGCAGCAGCAGTGCTGGTATCGACTCCTCAGGGCTTCAACAAACTAAAAAATCATGTCGTACATGCTCTTCAAAAGTTTGGGAACACTTCACATTCAGCGGAGCAGATACCAAGGTTTGGCGATTGTGTAAAACGCAGCTGTCGTACCATACAAGCATGTCAGCGATGAGTGAGCAACTAAAAAGACGACACCCTGGAGCCGTGAATCAAGATGGCAAAACACCGTAAGTTCTGTCAAGTTTTTCCCTTTCCCATGTTGGGTGTTTGTTTTAGTCTAAGTTTAAGTCCACTGTAACGTTTGACTGTTGCTTTGTTAGCCTACTTATGTACCCTACCCTCACTAATGTAGGCTAGTTTAAATTTGCAGTTTATCATCCGGGTATGTTTCTGTGAGTGTGTGTACTGTGTTGTGCTGCAGGTTTGGGCCGGGATTGGTTATAATTGTCTCGGACTTGGGTCGGGTTCGGTTAGGAAAATGCGGCCCGAGCCGCCTGTGTGTGTGTGTGTGTGTGTGTGTGTGTGTGTGTGTTTGTGTGCATGACACATAGAGCAGAGGAGAGTTGTAAAGGTGCGACCATGTAGAGACAGAAATGACATGCAGTCATGTGAATAAGATAAATAACATAAGTCTCTTTAGTTAGTTTAATAAAAGGACAGGTATAGACCTGTTCTATAGGAAAGGTAACCTTACATGACTTCTGTTGTGATCTGGAGCTATACAGGAAATAAAACCAAATACAATTAACTTGATCTGCTATTGATTACTGTCTAATCAATAGCAATCCTTTCTGAAGTTGAGGTCCAGTAGCCTATGTTCTGATTACATGTCTGACAAATGACTGGCATACCAGCACATGCAATGATGTGGACTGTACATTGACAAACTAAACCATAAGTTATAAGAGTAAGTTCATTGACCCTTGTGTTTGGGGTTTGTCACCTTTTTAGGAGCCAGCAAAGAAGTGTGAAGGATTTTTTCCATAAGAAGACCCCTACTCCCTGCACACCGACACACAGATGGCTGCTGTGTTGACAGACAGCATTCTATCAATGACTGTCATGACATGAGGCCCCTTGCTATTGTGGAAGGAGTAGGTTACCGTGAAATGGTCAACACATTTCACTCTAGACTCCCCTTTAACAGATTTGATGGAGAAGAAATGTGTGACTTCAATGGACACCATGAAAACTAAGCTAAAACATGTCACATCTAAAATCACACTCACCAGTTACCGGTCACCAGTGGACCAGGGTTTTCCCTGGGTTTGTTCAAGACCAAGGTGGCAAAGGCCTGTGGCGGGGGGCATCTTGACAGCTGTACTTTTAGATACGGTCCCCCCCCTCTATTAAATATGAAAGGAGGCCCCCACATGCTTGAGCTTTACACTGCTGACTTGTATAATCAGAACAGACATGTCCTGTGATTTTCAGCCTCCTATGATTATATTTACTCTTTACAGCAAGCACATCCTGACAGCTGAGAATATTACTGTCAGGTATTGTCCCCCCTCTATTAAATATGAATGGAGGCTGGAAATCACAGGACATGTCTGTTCTGATGATACAAGTCAGCAGACCTGAAATGTGTGTTTCTCTTCTATAATACACATTCTCGGAGGCAACGTCTTTCTACGTACGGGCTTCCTTCACCTTTCAAACGGGGCAGAGCTCCGTGGGAAACAGTAGGAGAGACACAGCCCGAGGGGGAACTGGGATCTGACACAACACCGAAGGGAGAAGCAGGTCTGTGGAGCTGAGCGCCGGACAAAAAAACAAGCACGTAGCACCAAATGCACACCGCTATGGTGTTGCTTTGGGTTGTGAGCACACACAACGCACGTCTACATTGAAAGTAATGGGCTTGTGCGCACAAAAGATGCTACATCTGAACACCCCCCCACGCACGCAGACACACAAGCAAAGGAAAGCAACAGTGGCGATGACATGAGCCAGGATGATGATGGTGATGGTGAGGAACGAGGCACTTCTTTATTTTGGGGAGAACTGTATGCCGAGGGAGAACGACCCCCTTCAGTGGTGGAGGGAAAATGAGGGTAGGTTCCCCACCCTCTTTATTCTAGCCAAGTCTTATTTGGCTCTACCTGCTACATCAACGCCATCTTAAAGGCTTTTTTCAGCTGCAGGAAACATAGTGACCAAGAAAATGGCCAGCCTGACTGCTGACCATGTGGATATGTTGACATTCCTCCACATGAATGCCTAACTGTGTCTTGAAACAGACACACACACACACACACACACACACACGCACAGGAATTACATACACATCATCCTCCTAAGAGATAGAGAAAGGAGAGGAGGAAAAGGGCAAAAGGGAGAGAGGGTCTAAAGTGTAATACTTTACACTAGAAGATTGTTGTTTTCATTATATAGTTAAGTTGCACTTTTTGGCATAAGATAAGAGGAAAGCTGCCAGAAAAGAGAAAGCGAGGGGGACCGGCGTTCTGAGCTTGTGTTCGAATGTTACTACTGTTTGTTCTAAAAGAAAAAAAGAATGCCGACTCTTAAGTGAGATTTTTTATTTTTATTTTTTATCATGTTGATCTGTTCTGTACGACATCTATTGCACGTCTGTCCGTCCTGGAAGAGGGATCCCTCCTCAGTTGCTCTTCCTGAGGTTTCTACCGTTTTTTTTCCCCGTTAAAGGGTTTTTTGGGGTGTTTTTCCTGATCAGCTGTGAGGGTCATAAGGACAGAGGGATGTCGTATGCTGTAAAGCCCTGTGAGGCAAATTGTGATTTGTGATATTGGGCTTTATAAATAAAATTGATTGATTTTTGTATTACCCCCGAGTGACTTGAATATTTAATTTATTTTTTTGGATAAAATAATATCTACAACTTGAATTTTATTTCACGTAAAAGATGATTTTCTTGAATACTAATGCTCTGCAAGGCAGCGTTGAAGTGTTAATGTGTCAATAAATGTTAATGTAAATAAGAAATGTTTTGGTATTCAAATTATTTAAAAACTAATTCAAATTCAAATTTAAATTGCCTCATTAATCAAATAATTGAAAAAAATAATCATTAAACTAATAAAAAAAATTTGTCGTTAGATTAGTCGATTAATCAAAAAAATAACTGCTAGATTAAACACTAGAAAAATAATTATTTGGGACAGCCCTAGATTTTATCGACTGATTCTTACCAAGAGACAGGAAGTCCCGCCCCTGTAGCCACAGCCTGCAGTCGGTCAGTTTGACGCAAAGCTTCATGAGGACGGGATACGACTGGATCTCCACATCACCGTCTGGTTCCATTTTGATCCGAACATCTTTGGCTGCGTCCTGAAATCACACCTTTGATCAGTCTGATCCAGAGTCAGCGACACAAACGTGACATTAAAGAATAACTTTGTAACGTGGACTCTGACGTGACGGCTGACGGGCTCATGGTGTTTGTGTCTGACAACGCTCTGCAGGGTTGCCACGCATTATGTCAACATTAAAAACATTTCCATGACTTTCAAGGACCCATAATAATGTTTCCATGACGATTCACAACATACAACACAAACAGAACCGTCTAAATTCAGCACACTGTCCTTTACAAGAGTCAAACGTAAGTCCAGCTGACTGACAGATGTGGACACGAACGCAGAGACTAAATGAATCACGTCAGAACTCCGATAAGCCAACAGCTACAGAAAGTAAATTCACTGTTATCTGATGGTACACTGAATGTTTTCCACAGATTATTGTAACAATACATTTTACTACACAAAACAAAATTTCCAGGACTTTTACAGGCCTGAGAAATGAGGCTGTAAAAATTCAATGACTTTTCCAGGTTTTCCATGACTGTGGGAACCCTGACAATGGAAAGGATCTCTAAAGAAACAGAGCTTTGTGTTAAACAGGAAGATCCTTTTTGTTTCACCAGAAACAGCCCCGAAATCTCTTTCACCAAACCTGATCTCTACCAACATGAAACAGACTTCATTTAAATAAACCTGAACTCGTAATTAGTGTGCAGTACCAGTGTTAGTATTAGTGTGCAGTACCTGTGTTAGTGTGCAGTACCAGTGTTAGTATTAGTGTGCAGTACCTGTGTTAGTGTGCAGTACCAGTGTTAGTATTAGTGTGCAGTACC